CAAGACTCATTAGCTATGTGACCTATGGCAAGTTAACCTCTCTGAACGCCATGTTTTCTCACTATAACCTGAGACTATAGCCTCTCAGCATGCAGAATTCTTGTGAGGGTCAGCTGACAAAAATGTAGTATATGAATTTCACCAGAAAAATTAAAACTTCATTGCATGCCTCTTACGAACAAGCACAATACAATGAACAAAAGAAGACTCTGCTCTCATGTAGCTGTTCTCATAAAAGCCCTAAAAGTATCAGAATGAAAATACAAGGACTGAGAAGAAAAATAAAATAAAAAATAAAAAATTATCATTATCAGGGAAAGGTAGGGAAGTAGAGGGCAGGAAGTGCTTTTTCAGTAGGCTTGCCATGAAGCATAGCATTTGAGCAGCTCTGAATGAACTAGGGAGGCACCATTCAGCTATCTGGAAAAAGGGTATTTCAAATAAAAACACTTGACAAAATGATAAAGGTCTAGAGGCACCTAGCAGATATCCAGAACATAGAGTTCCTTTGCTGCTCTATTTCCAGCTGGCCACTCTGCAACAAAATTGCACCACCACCTCCCCATCTTAGTTCAAACTCTGGGGACCACATCACAAGCTCTTTCCTCCTCCAGATTCCTCTCTCTCTCTCTCTCTCTCTCACACACACACACACACACACGCTGTCTCTCAGCTTTTAGACTAAGCCTATATTATTTCTACAAATGCTAAAAGGGGGCCTCTTCTATAAAGTTAACATATGCTGAAAGCTAAATATAGGTCAAGAACTTTGCTAAACAATTTAAGTATCTTTTTTTTTTTTTTTTTTGACAGGCAGAGTGGACAGTGAGAAAGAGAGACAGAGAGAAAGGTCTTCCTTTTTTTTTCCTGTTGGTTAACCCCCTAAGGCCGCTGCGACAGGCGCACCACGCTGATCCGAAGCCAGGAGCCAGGTGCTTTTCCTGGTCTCCCATGTGGGTGCAGGGCACAAGTACTTAGGCCATCCTCCATTGCACTCCCTGGCCACAGCAGAGAGCTGGACTGGAAGAGGAGCAACCTGGACAGAATCTGGCACCCCGACCGGGACTAGAACTCGGTGTGCCGGCACTGCAGGCAGAGGATTAGCCAAGTGAGCCGCAGCGCCGGCCAAACAATTTAAATATCTTATTCAATCTCTACAAAAATCCAATGACAGAGTCATTATTGTGCCTCCAAATGTGGAAATGATGTAGGCAGGCAGAGAGGATAAAATTGATCAGGTTTGTGAGCTGGAAGACCACAGCTCCACCATGCCCCCTGTGTGATCTCACGCCCCTACCTGACCACACATGTGCACCCACCTGCCAATCAGGCTACATAACCACTCCCCTTTGGAAGTGAATTAAAGGCCTGTTTCAGGTCTTTTATTGTATTTATTTGTTTGCAAGACAGAGTGAGGAAGAAAGAGACAGATAGACAGAGGGAACTCCCATCCACTGGTTCACTCTCCAAATTCCCACAACATCTGTGGCTGGAGCTGGCTGAAGCCAGGAGCTAGGTACTTAGTGGGGCCTCCCATTTGGGTAGTGGGGAACAACTACTTGAGCCATCACATGTTGCTTCCCAGTGTCTATATCAGCAGGAAGATGGAATTGGGAGCAGAACTGGGACTCAAACCTGGGCACTCCTATATAGCATGTGGACATCATTACCAGCTTCTTAAATGTGAGGTTAAATGCTTGCCCCCACTGAATGTTTACTGAGCACTAATAATATGCAAGGATTCTGGTAGGATTTGAAAATAAAGCAAACAGCTCAGAAAGGTCTTTGTTCCCATGAGTCAAAGGGCTATCAAAAGCCTCTAAGTGAAATTTATTTGCTATACTGTAAGAGAAGGGGGTACCATATAAATACACTAATAAAAATTATAAATAAACTACTGCTACCAGAGTATAGCCATTGCAAAGAGAGGTTGAAAATCACTACTCTAACATAGTCCACCTCTGTCATAATCAGGTTCCATTTACTATCCCTGAGAGAATTCTCTTTATATAGATTTTCAAGTAGCCTATCATAAGAATTAAAAAGCATTGAGTACAAAAGTATTCATTATTATTTGAGGGTTACCATTTTTGCACATTTTTACTACTTGGGTTTTAGAGGCTGCAAGCTAAATTTCATAAGCCATAAAAAGCTTACAATGCTATTAACTTACAATGAACTTACTCTTTCATTTCCTGCTTCTTTCACCCGTACTGGAATTTTACCTTTCCTCTTAGTTCTACACATACTAGATTCTGGGTGCCTGTGTGGGCAAGTGGGTGGCAAGCACCAAGATATAATGATACTGTTCTTTAGCTCTATGGAAAATTAAATCCTGTCCATCAACTACAGATTGTAGATAGGAAAATCCAGGTGGCACTGGATTTATGAATTTTAAATGACCCCTAACAACTTTTGGGAATTAGCACTGTGGAATAGAATATTCTGTAAAGATAAAAATGTTGTATGAATGGCCTATCTCATTCACTAGCTACTAGAAACGACAATCAGGCATTTGAAATGAGCCTATTGTAACTGAGATAGTAAATTTTAAATTTTATTTATCTTACATTTTAGACCTTTTCACTGGTAGCTACCATAGTGATCAGCATGAACACATAAGACAAGACACCGTGCAATTTATAAAGAGAAGAGGTTTATTTAGCTCACATTCCTGAAGGCGGAAATTCAAGATCAGGTGGACATATCCATGAGGGCCTCATGCTTCATTTCAGCATGGTAGCAAAGTGGAAAACAAGCCCAAACTGAAGAAGAAGGAGGGAACAAAGGAGCTGACCCTTTTAAACAACTCATCCTCATGAAACCAATCCAGGAGAACAAATCTGGTCACGTGTGAAAGACATTAATCTTAAAAATCTCAGCACCCAACATAACTACATCAGCAACCAAACCTTAATATGAGTTTTCTCAGGGACAAACTGCATCTAAACCATAGCAATACAATATATAGCTCATCCTTAAAAAGAAAGGAAATTCTGACACATTCTACAACATGCATGAGCCTTGAAGACATTGTACAGAGTGAAATGTCAGTCACAGAGGACAAATGCAGTATGATTGCACCTGTGTAAGATACCTAAGGTAATGAAATTTACAGAGACATAAAGTAGAATGGTGGTTGCCAGTGACGTGGGTGAAGGAATGATGGGGAATCCTTATTTAACAGGTACAATTTAAGTTGAGATAGATGAAAAAGTTCTGGAGATGGATGGTGGTGGGTGTTGTAATACAGCGTGAGTGTGCTTAATGCCATGGAACTGTAAACTTATAGATGATTACAATGGTAAATTCCATGTAATGCACGTTTTACTACAATGAAAAATTTAACAATTCTAAACAAATAAAAAGCATTTCAGATGATGCGCTCTTACAGAGCAAATCAGTCATTGCAGTGTGGTCACCCTCAGTCTGACCAAAGATTGTTGAGAAAAAAAAAAATACCTCAGATTCAGCCAATAGTAGACAATCCAGATTCCCAATAACTCATACATTCTGCTTAACTTAAGAATATGTGGCCGGCGCCATGGCTCACTAGGCTAATCCTCCGCCTTGCGGCGCTGGCACACCAGGTTCTAGTCCCGGTTGGGGCGCCAGATTCTGTCCCGGTTGCCCCTCTTCCAGGCCAGCTCCCTGCTGTGGCCAGGGAGTGCAGTGGAGGATGGCCCAAGTCCTTGGGCCCTGCACCCCAGGGAGACCAGGAGAAGTATCTGGCTCCTGCCATCGGATCAGCGCGGTGCGCCAGCCACAGCTCACTGGCCGCGCCGGCCATTGGAGGGTGAACCAACGGCAAAGGAAGACCTTTCTCTCTGTCTCTCTCTCTCACTGTCCACTCTGCCTGTCAAAAAATAATAAAAGAAAATAAATAAAAAGAAAAAAAAAAGAAAAAAGAATATGTGACTAGCTGGCTTTTACTGATTCGTTTGTTTGTTTCCCAGAAAAAGTTATGAACTACACAAATAATGAATTGCCTGAACATACACCACTAAAAATAACCAGGTAGCAGAAAGATTTCAGTATAACCCAAGGACTTCCAATGAAAAAAAATTGTGGAAACAGCAAATCCATAACATGGAGAAGGAGGGAGCTGTCAACCTCACAACTTGTTGGATTGTAAGGGCCCTGATATTGAATCAATGTGGTATTTGAACAAATAAAAGAAAATAATGGATAACTTAAATAAATGAGTGAAGGAACACATAGCAAGGGCATTCAAGATCAAGCCAAAACTGAATCGCCATGTTTGAACTGCTCAGGAAAATGCATGAGATATAAGACCTGAATTCTACTTACAAATAGGATTGACAAATAGTCTAAGAGAAGTAACAGGCATCTAAGTTGTTTTTTTTTGTTTTGTTTTGTTTTGTTTTTGTTTTTGTTTTTGTTTTTTTTTTTTTTTTTTTTTTGACAGGCAGAGTGGACAGTGAGAGAGACAGAGAGAAAGGTCTTCCTTTTGCCATTGGTTCACCCTCCAATGGCCGCCACGGCCAGTGCGCTGCGGCTGGCGCACCACGCTGATCCGATGGCAGGAGCCAGGAGCCAGGTGCTTTTCCTGGTCTCCCATGGGGTGCAGGGCCCAAGCACCTGGGCCATCCTCCACTGCACTCCCTGGCCACAGCAGAGAGCTGGCCTGGAAGAGGGGCAACTGGGACAGAATCCAGCGCCCAAACCGGGACTAGAACCCGGTGTGCCGGCGCCGCTAGGCGGAGGATTAGCCTAGTGAGCCGCGGCGCCGGCCTGGCATCTAAGTTTGATTCAAAAAAATATTTCAGATATCCAAGAGGGAAGAATGATTTTGAGTACATCAAAGTTCATGTTACTCAATGTTATCACCCATCCCAACAATCACAGGCTTACTAGGAAGTCCTAAAGAGAAAAGAAGCCATATGAGAAGTCTAGATGCATTAGAACGTCTTGTACATGTTAGAAGTGCTCATCAGTATTTCATCAAGACCAAAGATATGGGGTGGGAAGAGACTTACAAGAACAATTAAAGTCTGATGTCTTTAGTTGGTACCAATGTCTCCAGCATCAACAGCAGGCAAAAGGTCACACCAATAGCTCTGGAAAGAAAGATTTGGGAGGGGTGACTATAATTTCTACTTGACACAGACTTTGTTGTCCTTAAAATGGACAGCATTCATTTGCAAGACATTTAAATAGTTTCACGGATTTTCAAGGTTCCCATAGTTGAAATCTAAAAGAAGGTTCACAAATATGAAATGCATCTTAAAAAGTGTTCGAAGCATTTCAGAGAAATTTTTTTTGGAATCCTGGAGCTTCGTGAAGACAAAAACTCAATATTGCCTACCATTATCATTATATTCTTAGACTAATATGAATAATAAATGTCATACTCACTCAAACATTGTGGCAGAAGTCTTACTATGGACTCATTCTTTTTTTTTTTTTTTTTTTTTGTAAGATTTATTTTATTTATGTGAAAGAGTTACAGAGAGAGGTAGAGACAGAGAGAGAGCGAGGTGTTCCATTAACTGGTTTACTCCCCAAATGGCTGCAACAGCTGGAACTGGGCCAATCTGAAGCCAGGAGCCAGAAGCCTTCTCCGGGTCTCCCACATGGGTGCAGAGGCCCTGGTGATATCAGAATATGTGTTGGCATACGATACTACAGTGTGCTTATTAATAAATTCCCAATATCAATAAGTCTGTGTGGGTTCTTGCCTAATACTCCGAGAAGAATTCTGAATACTGGCATAAATGAACAAGGCATATATTTTAAGCTTTTTATTCAGTGAGAGAAATGCATAGGAGAGTAAGGGTCCTATCTAAAAGAGAGATAAATCTGAATTCATACCGAGCACCAGGAGCTAGCCACATGGAGGAGAGCATGTAGGCCAGGAAGCATGAGACGGGTGGCACGAAGGCCATGTGCCCTGGAGGTGCAGGGCAGCAGGGGCCCACAATGGCAAAAGACCAAAGAATAAGGACTGGGCCCACCGTGTTCCACACCTTTAATCAATTCCAAAGGGGAGTGATTAATTAGCCTGATTAGCCAGTGGGCACACAGGTGTGGTCAGGCAGGGGCATGAGGTCACACAGGAATGTAGTGAAGGCATAGTCTTCCAGCTCACAAACCTGATCAATTTTATCCTGTATGCCTCTACATCACAGGGACTTGGCCATCCTCTACTTTTTCCCTGGGTGCATTAGTTGGGAGTTGGATCAGAAGTAGAGCAGCCAGTACTCAAACTGGCACCCACATGGGATGCCAGTACTGCAGGCTGGGGCTTTAACCCGCTGCACCACAGCACTGGCCCCTGGACGCATTCTTAATGGCTCATAATCATCAAGAAAAAAAAAATGAAAGGACCATTTGTCTTAGTCTCCCTTGCAGCAATGTATAACCCAGTAACTCAGTTCTAGCCCAAGAATCCAAACAGAAGTAAAATATCCCCTCCACAAGTTGCTTGGAAGTATCTGAGCCCAACTGTGATTGTCACAGCTAAGGAAGAGAGAGAATGTTACCCGCACCCATTGGCCAGAGGTCAGAGACATTGCTGCATATCCTACAAAGCACAGGACACCTTTCCACAACAAAGAAGCGTCTGGCCCAAATGTCAATAGTGCCAATGTTGAAAATCCCTAACAAATAAGAAAAAAGGAGCACATCTGTCTCCTTTTTTCCCCCTTTTTCAGACTGGAATTGGGATACAGCGGTAATACACACTGGACCACAAAGATGGAAGCAAAATCCTGGAGATGACAGAGCAAAGACAGGAGCTTGGTCCCCTGTTCAGCACCAATTTTGCTATGTTCCTGTAGCAGGATTGCCTCTGCAGAAATCCTCCCAGCTCAGTCCTCCACCCTCCTGGCTGAATGGGAATGACCCCAATCCCCACCTCCAAAGCAGATCCTGATTTCCTTAAGCAAAACCTCACGTTCTCAACACCATGGCTCAGGCCATGGTGACTGACTCTGAGAAAGAGCACTGTTCCACTGGATTTTTCAGATGAAGATGTGAGATGTGGCAATGATACCGACATCTTGCCCCCTAACAGGGGTAAGCACCAGGCTCCTGGCTTTGGATTGGTGCAGTGCGCCGGCCATAGCAGCCATTTGGGGAGTGAACTAAGGGAAGGAAGACCTTTCTCTCTGTCTCTCCCTCTCACTGTCTAACTCTGCTTGTCAAAAACAAACAAACAAACAAACAAACAGGACCAGCGCCGCTGCTCACTAGGCTAATCCTCTGCCTGTGGTGCTGGCACCCCGGGTTCTAGTCCCGGTTGGGGCGCCAGATTCTGTCCTGGTTGCTCCTCTTCCAGTTCAGCTCTCTGCTGTGGCCTGGGAGTGCAGTGGAGGATGGCCCAAAGTCCTTGGGCCCTGCACCCACATGGGAGACCAGGAGAAGTACCTGGCTCCTGGCTTCAGATCAGCACGATGTGCCGGCCACAGCGTGACAGCCGCAGCAGCCATTGGGGGGTGAACCAACAGAAAAGGAAGACCTTTCTCTCTGTCTCTCTCTCTCTCACTGTCCACTCTGCCTGTCAAAAACAAACAAACAAACAAACAAACAAGACTAACAGAATCCCACCGTTTGATTCCTGAATTCAAACTAAACCTATTATCCCTACCTCTGGCCCTTTCAAATACATGAGCCAATAAATGCTTGCTTGCACAAATTTGTATTTGTTATACTTCTCTCCTGCAAATCAAAGTCCTAACAGATACAGAGAACTGATAGTAGGAAAAAGTGACAGGAGAAGGTTCACCCTTCTTCAAAGATTTATTTTATTTATTTGAAAGACAGAGTTACAGAGAGACAGAGGGACATATACACATACATAGAGAAAGAGAGAGAGAATCTTCCATCCATTAATTCACTCCCCAAATGATCACAACAACCAGGGCTAGCAGACTGAAGCCAGGAGCCAGGAACTTCTTCTGGGTCTCCCACATTGGTGCAGGGGCCCAAACACTTGGGCCATCTTCCACTGTTTTTCCAGGCCCATTAGCAGGGAGCTGGATCAGAAATGGAGCAGCCAGAACTCAAACCAACACCCATATGGGATGGCAGTGCTGCAGGCTTAACCTGCTACGCCACAACGCTGACCTGAGAAGGTTTACTTTGAAGACTTGCTCATTTCACACAAGGTTTAAGACATCATCTACAAAATTCCTTGAGGTGGAAAACAACAACAAAAGTGTTTCCATTGCCTGGTGAGCATGTTACTAGGGGAAAAAGGCATGATTGAGAGTTTTGAATCATTTATATTGCTTAGTATGATAAATATTTCTTAGAATTTAAAAGTAGCACTACTACCTTTACACATGATATACAAGGATACTCTGAAAAGTTTACAGAAAAAACTGAACTAAAAGATAAGCTTATTTGTGTGTAAAGTTTTGAAATCCACAATTTTTTCATAATACACATTTTCTGTGAACTTTCTGAAGATCTCTTGTACCAACTTCTTTATATAACTATTATAACAAGTATCCAAATAACCAGATCTCCCTTCATATTATGATTCTCTGTGATTACTTATCAGTGAAGGCTTGAAGTCTTTAGCAATTATTCTCATTATGTTCAATTGTTCAGTTTCCCTGAGAAACTATCATAAACTGACAGCCTTAGATAAATAGTTGCTTGCATTCAGGTTTCTTAAACTTGTACTTTGTTTGCTTTTTTTATTCATGAGTTCCAGGTTTCTATCTTTCCTAAAGATTGCTTGGGAACATAGTTTGTGCTCAACTAGCTATCAATTTCAAGGTCACTCTTGTAGACAATGCATGCTTTCAAGACTCAAAACAATACCACTCTAATACAATCTTAGAAAGGAGCTAAGCAAGTGATGTTGGCATGTTTTCAGGCTAGAATGCTTCTTGAGCATTCAAATCAGATAACAAAGATGCCTGTCTTGATGATAAGAGTTTCAGCTGCCTTGTCTTGTATTGCATAGCGAGTATCAACCCTCTATGTTAGTTCTTGAAGTTCATATATTACAGTGATCATATTGCACCTGTTTCTGATGTATTGTCCCAGGCCTAATCTATATTTCATTTACTATCCATGGGATCTAGGGAAAGTTTCCTAATCTCTTTATTGACAGTTTCCTCTTCCTTAAATGAATAGAGTAGGGACTAGTGTATTAGAATAGTCTGGTAATTGCAATGTTTCAATTCAAGGTATCCAGACTTAACACCAAATGCTTTGGAGTCTTAGTAACCCACTATACAAGTGATTGCTTGTGAAAATAGGCAGAGAATGATACAATTCAATGCTAAGACTTAAGGCCAGAGAGCAGCAGCAAATGAATAAACCTCATGCCTTTCACACATGAGATATTCTATGGAACCAGCTACTATTAATTGTCCATAAACACACCTAATAAAGAAAACTCTTATCTGGCAGAGCAGAAACCTTGAAACTTTTTTTAAACTACACTACTATCTCAGGGACTTTGCACATAATGTTCCCTCAACTTTGAACATTCTATCACTTTTTTTGATCTGCTATTACCCATACATTTCATGAGAATCTAAAATACTTCCCACGTTTTTCCAAGCTGTATTGGAAACTGATTTGGGACCCTTTATATTGGACTGTGACATAGGATTCAGGCATCGCAAGCAGTGGTTTAACCTGCTTTATCACAGCTGTCACCACAGAAGATATCTATTTTAATTTAAAGATTTATTTGTTTATTTGAAAGAGTTACACAGAGAGAGAGACAGAGACACAGATCTTTTCATCTGCTTGTTCACTGCCTCCAAATGGCCACAATGGCTAGTGGTAGGCCACGTCAAAGCCAGGCGCCAGGAACTTCCTCCAGGTCTTCCAAGTAGGGGGCAGGGGCCCAGGTACTTGTGCCATCTTCTGCAGCTTTTCCCAGGCCATTAGCCAGGAGCTGGATTGGAAGGGGAGCAGCCAGGTCACTAACCAGAGCCCAAATGGGATGCTGGTATCACAGGTGGCTTTACCCATTATACCACAACACTAGCCCAAGAAGACAGCTTTTTAAAAATATGAGTATAGGTATGGACACTTGACCTAGCAGTTAAGATGCCATGTTCCATATCTGAGAGTCTAGGTTTGATTC